TTTCTGTTTTTACATCTCTCGTTTAATAGGTATAAAAGAACTTCGAATGTTTCTCTGTTTTTAATGATCATCTCGCTTTTTTTCTTGCTATATCGATTCACAAAAGTTATTCTTTTATTTTTAAGAGTCATTTTTCGTTTCACGACTTACCGATCTCTTCACCCTGATAAATATAAGGTGTTCCACAGAGGAAATGTAAACAAGTGCCAAGCATCTTAGCAGAAAGAACTCGATACTGGCTGGAATCATTGCCCCACCGTGAAACAATACGTGGTTGATCATGATTATTCCAATAGAGGCTATTCCAACCTTTACCAAAAAGACCTTTTTGCCATGTTGTGAAATGATGTTTTAATTCGCGTAAATCAAGTAATTTCGGTATCCATTTGCCTTCACGATTTCCAGGATCAACAAGGGATGTAAAAGTTTGATGTCTACCTCCATCTAGATCCATATGTTCGAATGTAAAAATCATATCGAGCTCTTTTCGAGCTGGATTTGTTATCAATTCAGCTTCGTGTAGATGGGCTCCTATGAAATAAAATATTTTATTTCATTTGTGTCTTTGATGTTTTTCTTATTCTCACCAGGGCATTCGCCAACCGTCACAATATTGTAATGACGTAAGACTTGTTCATACATTTCTTGCAAATATTCATGTAAATGTGGTTCATTGATGTAGTACGGTGTTCCGTCAGAATATTGTCTGCCTTCATAGCAATGACCTTCGGGATAGTCTGGTACTTTAGAAATAAAATTAATAACATCCATACGAAATCCATCTACACCTGAAGGACGAATTCAAATAAATGAATTGAATAAGAAAGATATAAGCTATCGTATATAAAAACAACCTTTATTCAACCACCAACGCATAATTTTATAGACTTCTTGACGAACAACTGGATTTTTCCAATTCAAATCGGGCTGTTTCGGTGTAAAGGTATGAAGATAATATTCACCAGTAATGATGTCATAAGTCTAAATGAAAGAGTAGAATCGGTTTTACAACAACATCTTTTTTACCCAAGTCGGACCACCAAAAGCAGCTCCCCATCGATTTGGTGCTTTGCCATCTTTACCCGGTGCCCAATGATAAAAGTTTCGATAAGGATTATCTTTACCTTTTTTCGATTCGATAAACCATGGATGTTCATCACTGGTATGATTGACAACAAGATCCATGATTAATTTCAATTGACGCCGTTTCATTTCTGCTAACATTCGATCAAAATCTTCCATCGTTCCAAATTCAGTCATTATTTGAAAATAATCACGGATATCATAGCCATTATCATAATTCGGTGAATCGTAAACGGGACTAAACGTGAAAGAGATCAATCGGTAAAATATAAAAAATAAAAATTCACTCGAACCTAAGCCAAAGAATATCCACACCTAACTTTTTCAAATAGTCTAATTTAATAGTGATACCATTGAGATCACCGATACCATCACCGTTTGAATCAAAAAACGAACGTGGATAAATTTGATAGACAACTGAATGATGCCACCAGCCTTTATTTGATACAAAATTGTTTGTGACCATGAATTTGCTTTGAGATAGAAGAACAACAAGACAATGTGCTGAGAGATCCCTCGTCGACTCTTTTTTTTCTTATCAACTGATTCAATTCTTGATAAGCGTTGGTTGTTTCGAAAAGGGCATGCGTAATGTGAATCTGAAGAATAAGAAACTATGTGAACAAACTAGAATAAAAGAGTGAGTGGACTTGAATGCGACATGTGCACTTAGGTTCAAGTGTTAGATATGGAATGTGTGTGAATGAATGTTTGAGTCAATCTTTGATTCGCACAGACATTCATTCATACCTGCACCTACTTCTTCACAAACATCCTCATCTCTTGTCTTTTGATCAAGAGAACTGAAATCATTTGGAGTAAGCAAAGATACGCAGATTCACTAAAGAATTGATTTCGGAGAAAACTATCGCTGTTATTATCAGCAGCCGTCAAGTTTTGAAAAATTAATCATTCGATTCGACATGTTTTGACTCGACTGATGTTATGCTCAATTTCACTCGATCTCGTGAAACATGTTAAACGTATGCTTCTCTATAAAAGTATATCAGTTCTTTTCGTACTTCGCTTTTCTTTTTTCACAGTTCTTGATGTATGGTCGACTCATTTTAGTGAATATGAGGGTTCCTCTTCCACACAATAATATGAGTTTCATTTAGTTTTTGAATTTCTTTTCATAAGCCTAGCCTTTCAATTAAAGTGTCAACTTTCCAAATACTTAGGGCATTCCAAAAGTAGTGGCAGTGATACTGTAATACCTTATTGAAAGTTTTAACAAACTTTATTTCTATATAGTCTGATAGAGAAAAGAATGCTCTATTTTTCTATGCTATTTGATCATACTGCAACTAATATCGTAATAATAAAATTTTGATAAGACCTATTTTTCTATCATATGGGACGGTTATACTAACGTCTATGTAGTGGATATTTTTTGAATAACATTTGATAGTAACAAAATAACGAGCTGCAGTTTTCATCGTTTCAAAGAAGAGATAAAGATGTATCGAATCGTATATTATAGATTTTTTTGACATAACTTTTTTAAGGCTTTCAATAGACCTCTTTGAAAACAAATCTGCCCAGTGAGGTGTTTACAGTGAGTTCTTCATTGCCAAGTGTGTATTCAAACTGTCAATGGAAGGTCTACAAAGTTGCACAAGCTTCAGATGTTTAGAATTACTCATTGAGGAGTTATATGGATTCTAGTTGAAGCTCGAATTGATTTTTCTGGCAATGTCTGTAAAAAGCGTTTTCTTTTGCTGTTTCTTTTTTGATAAGAAGCTATTTTTCCACACTTAGAAAACTGATTAAATAAACTTCAGGCTACATTGTCGGAAAATATATAATGTACGATTCGATACATCTTTGTCTTCTCTTTGGAACGATGAAAACTGCAGCTCGTTATTTTATGACTATCAAATGTTATTCAAAAAATATCCACTACATAGACGTTAGTATAACCGTCCCATATGATAGAAAAATAGGTCTTATCAAAATTTTATTATTATAATATTAGTTGAAGTATGATCAAATAGCATAGAAAAATAGAGCATTCTTTTCTCTATCAGACTATATAGAAATAAAGTTTGTTAAAACTTTCAATAAGGTATTACAGTATCACTGCCACTACTTTTGGAACGCCGTAAGTATATCTCTATAGCATGTTATTGAAAAGAGCAAATTTTTCTCTATATCTTGAACTGAATTTCATTTCAGTATCTATTTTAAAAGATGTCGATTTGGAGTAGTTTCTAGAGCATAGTGATAGTATATTAAAATATATTATTTTTTGTGTTGAACTAGGTTTAATTTTTGAGATATTACATCTGAAATAGAGTAAAAGAATTCTATCCAAAAACCATATTTAATTAACTGTTTTTATTATAGGAAGTGAAAGTAGTAATCTTTCATAGAGACATCAATTGTGATAATTTTTGCGTAAGGATCCTTGTATTCTCTTATTGACTTAGGTAAGATAATGTCTGAAAAGTATTTAGAAATTACATATTTCTAATGAATTCTATTTTCTACAAATCGGTTATATTTTAAATCAAGAGCAAAAGTGTTCTCATGAACATAACATAGTTGTTTGGATGATAAACTAAGAAACTAAGGGTAGATGACCCCAACAGGCACACACTATCCTCAAATTTTGAAAAACCAAACATGAAATCTCTGCGCATAATTTCGTATTCGAAGCAACATGGAATTTTATGCAAAAACTCATATAATCATTGGCCTCATCACTATTTATTTCTACGGGCGCTATCGAACTTACATTTCTGAATTTCTCATCTAAATAACTATGTCATGCTCATGCTTACAGGTTTACTATTGATTTTAAACATAATCTGTTTCTAGAACATAGGATGCTCTACAAACACGAAACTTTTGAATACATTTCAGATATTAACTCATTTAAGTCAAAGAGAGAATACAATGTTCCTCATGCAAAATTACTCTCGTACACTTCCTAGCATAACAACAGTTAATCAAATACGGCTTTCGAATAGAGTTTGTGATATCTCAGAAATCAAAAAACCAATTCAACACAAAAAATAATATATCTTAGTACTTCGATGAAAATTAGTTCAACATATAGAGAAAAATTCGCTATTTCCAACGTTGTGCTATAAAGATATCGGACAGTCAAAGTTATCACATAGATGAAGCTTGGTGCGCATGTACTAGATGATATGAGTTATAATATGGACGAAGTGATACCACTCTAGCTGATACGATTTCCGAAATATGAGCTCACCCGAAACGTTGATTTTACTTGATGACGCATTTTGATGCTTACTGCATATTATATGAATTAATTTCACATACATTTCTTTCTTTGTCTCTAATAGAAATAATGACACTTGAAAATAACTCAACTACAGCAAATGTTCAATCATGGTTTATTCCAATTGATATTTTAAACAACCTATGCACTGCCATTGCTGTTTTACTTGCTCTAGTCTTTTTATTTATTATTATTTTTCATAAACTATATCATAATGTTCCCATGTTACTCGTTTCAAATTCATGTTTAGCTGAACTTATATTTGAAAGTGATTTGTTAGCTATGGGTCTATTTGCATTTTACAGTGATTTTAAAAAAATTTACTTTCATGAATCATTTTATCTTTTATTAGGCTATATAAGTTATCTGTCAGTTGGAATACAAAATTATTCTTATTTGTTACAAGCAATCTATCGATATATTTTGATTGTTTATCCATCTCGATTATTCTATCAATCAGCTAAATTTCAAACTTTTCTTATTAGCATAACATGGATTTGTTGTATTATCTATCCTATTCCATTAGTATTTACTGGTCAAATAAAGTATCTTGTTAATGATCAAATATGTCAAATGCCTTCTTCAACTTTCATTTCTAACAATATTCAATGCAATTTATATTTATCTATATCCTATGCTAAGTATAATATTAATCTATTTAAAAATGGTTCAATATGTACAAGAAATGAGTAAAAAAGTAACTCCAGTTAATCGATTATTTCATGCCCGACGAGACTTACGAATGATTCGACGTATAGTTTCACTTGTATTCATTTTAATAGCACTTGGTTTTCCTTATCAAACATTCATAATTATGTCATTTTTCAATAGTGCACCAAAATATCATTTTCGTATAGCTTTTATGTTTATTGATGTATCATTGGTATTTGTATTGATTGCTCTTTTAGAAATTACAGAACCACTGAAAACTTCTTTAATGAAAAAAATTAATGGTCGACCAATCAACGTTATACGAACAGTGACGTGAAGAATTAAAATCAATCACAAGCTTCTAACAACATCTATGAAAACTTGTTTTCATGTTGTATTTCAATTTTGAACTATGATTTGTCTGTTTTGTTTTTGTGATGTGTTCAGTCATATCTAAAGGCGAAGAATAAATGAAAATAAATCTTTTTGTATTTCTATGTTTAGAGATGATCAGTAAAATGAACATGTAATCAGTTAATTAGGACTTCTTAAAGAATGATTCAATTTTAAAGAGACTGATGGATCTTTCAGACGATAAATTTTATTCAGATATTTCTTTTCTTATACTCTGGATTCGATGTGATCAATATTAAAAGTAAAATATCTGTGTATCATTCAACAGGAATAAAATATTAGTCTAGATGATTGATAAAACATGTGAACAGTGTGACATAGTTGTCATTCACGTAAAAGTTAGTCTGTAATAGAGGGTACAAAGGAAATAACATATTATTATGTATTCTTCAGAAGCATTCCACAAAAAAAAGATCAAAAATTCTAGTAGAATATCTTAAAAAGTCACCTATAATGAGAAATGAATGTTCTAATAATTCTTCTAGAAAAAAGTAAACATTTATCTCTTATAGCATTCAAACGATTTTATTGCTTTTCTCATAATATGGTAGTATGTTCTTTACTGTTTTATTCGACATATCTTCCAAAAATATGTGTTTCTATAAATATTAAAATGAAATCATCTTGATTATTGTTTAAGTGCAGATGCTCTCTAAGGATCAAACAATATATTGTTAATTGAATTAGCAAAGTTTTGGAAACGAAGTTATAATTTTTTCCACATAATGTGCCAAAGTTCAAACTTTAGCACAATATATCGATGAGATAAGAATGAAGCATTTTCCTGTTGGAACAAAAAGTTTTCTTATGTCGGTTCACTTTGTTTGGACAGACACATATGCACACACCGTCTTTTTTCATGTCACTTGCTTTCCAAAAAAAAGAAGGAAGTTGTTATTGACCATTCATATGAATTTCAATTCAATATGTATTATGTTTTAGAAATCGACTTTCGACTCTAATCAATGAAATAAAAATTCAACGTTGGAGAAACAAAAATTTCAGACTAGTAAAGCAAAAAATATATTCTATTTTATTTATTTTCTATCGTTTCGATGATTATTTAAATCTATAATGAAACTCTAATCAATACTGAGCACTAAATTAATCACATTGTCATTATCCTTTTGCATGATCTGTAACTATTCGGTTATTGTTTTTTTTTCTAAGATGAATTATGAAAAATAGTTCTGATGGGCAGCTGTGCATATTCTCTCCAATAGCATCTACATTTCAGATACACCCACGGCTTGGTCAAATCTAGTCCAACATTTACATTCCACCCAAGATGTCCTGCGCGTATGGGAAGGATGAGAGAATGTAACGTGTTGGCGAAAAAATTCTGCTTGCCTTAGATTAATCCACAACACATTGCCAGTAGTGTCAAACTTAAAAGTTGAATTCGATTGAGTTTGGAAGTTTCAAATTTCAAATTTTAATCATTTATATATAATATCTCTATATCTTCTTTATATCCTGAAAAACTATAGAAGCATCGCACACATTTAAATCACGTTCTGTTCTTACTCAAACAGGACTGGATTTACTTCGATCGCAACCGCAGCGTGAAAATCCTTGAATGACTTTTTGCTGTAATCTCATAGAAAGAGATGAGTGTGTGCTTGAAACTTGAAACTTCAGTTGAATTCAACTTTCAAGTTTGACATATATAATTTCAAGCAAAGAAAAGTATCCAGAGAACTTTTTTCAATTTATACTGCATCCAGAATGATCTTTTTTTTTTTACATGGTTTCATCACTGAAGAGGTCTGTTGCCTATGAGAGGGTTAATAGTCGCAAGCAAAAGCTTCTGGGCAATAATGGTTTCGTTTATTAAATGCGTGAAGTTCTAGATTACATTAAATAACGTAACCAATTTTGCCTTACAGAATTCGATAAATAATGTCTAAAGAAAAAATACAATCGTCAATATGTAGAAAAACTAAAACATTCGCATTGATTTGATGTGTTCAGTTTATACAGCGTGACATTGTTATAACAAGATCTAGATTAATAGCAAATGTGCACAGTAAGCCAATCATGTATGCCAAGCTTCTCCAAGGCTGCAATGCCAATAAGTATGTCACAGAATGTACAATACGAGCAAATGCATAGATCGCACCATAGACAATCGTTCGTATTACATTACCATTCACCGAATCAGAGAATAAAGCCGTTGCTAACAGAAGTACAAGAAAATATGTATCATTTTCTGCATCATTAGTAATGACACCATTAATGCGCGCATCTCTATTGACTTCATTTTGTGGAGTCGATTCCGCTGAGCTTACCGTCTGTTTTTTCTTGCGTGTATCATCTTCGGGAAGTCGTACACTTGGTTAAAATGGTTGTGTTTGTCGCGTCACTATTAACATGATAATCAGAACGAGACGACGAACAACCAATACGAGCATAAACCATGCAAATACAGTACCAGGTCGAATAGTTGTAACATCAGTCATGATGTTGAATAGAAGTCAATGGTATAACAAATGTTCTAGTTGTAAAGACAAAATTTTTTACCTTTTATAGTAGCAGTTACAGTCTCATGCCTTTTATAATTATGTGTTTTATCGTATAATTACGATTCAAACTGCCTTTTAATCTTCTTACACGATGATACAAAATTCTGCATTGTCATCTTTCTGCAGTCTCAAGCTTCTTTTTCGTGTTCGTACAAGCACTCGTCAACAAATTGTCATGGGGTGTTTTATTCATCTGATACAAAGTAAATTTTGCATCGTCATTATAGATTTTGTAGTATTACGCACACGTTATTTGATCTTTTTTTTAAGCGTATTTAATAAATAATGACTTTAAACTTCGAGATGAGTTTCAGGGTCCACTACTCACATAAATAAAGGAAATGATTAATGCCAAACATGAGAAAAAGCCAAGCGCGTAAAAATGAGAAAAGGCTTTTTATCGTTGTGTCTGCTTACATGTGATTATTCAAGTTCAAATACTTTTGTTTTTGATTACAATTTGCTTTTTTTATGTAGCATGCTGGATTTGTTGTAATATGCCTATGGATAAGATTAATTTGGTGGAAAGCTAAAAAACAAAATAAAATTGTTCAGGATATGCTCTTTTAGTCATCAAGTCAAAATTGATTTATCTTTTCATTCTCCATCGTTTTTCCAGCTCAATATAGAATCTCAACTTGAAAATCTTATATAAACTTCCAACTGAAATATCTGAGAATATGTTCGAGTCTTCGAAAAGAACAATATAACAAATGGAATGGTTGATTTGACACAAAGAGGGTCGATAATAAATGTCATTTAATTCTATTGTGTTCGACTTCATTGGAATCACTAGTTTTTCTTTAACAAAGAATAAAGAATAAAAAAAAACCGGACAGCAAGAGGCTAGAGCCTTTGATTGAAAGAAGAATTCGATATTTGTGGGGAACTCTTTCAAAATCGTTGCTCTTCAGGATACAAGTATAAAAAAAGTAAAAGAGAATCACGACATATTTATATGGAAACAATTCAAACAAATTCCGGATGTGCTGATTGAGGAAATAGTAAAAATAGTAATTCTCGACGTATTTTGTCAACACATTGATGGAACACGAGGAAAATTATGTAGTTATGAATTTGGATGTGTGTGAGTGGTATAAATATCGAAAAAAGTTAAGATTGTAGGATAAAACAGATGGAAACACATCGATGCCTCACATTCACATGCGCTGTTTGCACTGTTGTATATTGCGTGAGATTCGTCCTCCACTGACCCATCAAATTTAAAATAAAACATGAATTGCATTGCTGAAACTTGCAGTTGCATATCGCTTCGAGAAAAAGCCTAACTTTATTAGAAAAGTTTGCAATAAAATTACTATTAATTTTATCAAATTATGCATCATTAGCAATGCTTATCTCAGTTTTTTTTCTTTAGTATAACGCGTTTGAATTAGTTTGCATATGTAATCAGTAGGTGGATTAGGATGAATAGCACTAGCCAATTAGTTTTCACTTTGAATGTTTCGAATAAATCAATCAAATATATATATATCTTATAAATAGGATCTTTGTGCAAAATTTTCTACGATTCATCAAGAAGAGTTTATATTAATTTGATTACAGAAAAATATCTCATTTCATTATGACGTTTTTGTCAGTGATTACTTTTTATTACTTCGCCAAGTCTCTTGAAGATTCTATCAATTACTTTTTTGGCAATCATTACAAGTTATTTTTTTCATTCGTTGTTCAATCTCGTCTTTAGTTGTTAAAAGATTGAAAATTATTCTCCGTGTACTTCTGCATTTAATATTCTCCATACACTTTCAGTGAACAATAAATCAATAGATTTAGCTTCATGTTCTTGAAGTAAAGCTCAATTATTAAATAATTCATTAATAGTTTTAACACACAATTTGTATTTTTGTATTTTATTTTGTGCGCGATGTTTTCATATATTTTATCCACTACAATAATCTGATCTCTCATAAACGACAAAAAGTTTTGAAGATTTCCATCATCCCCTATTCGGAAAATAAGCTGTTTTTGGAAAAACCCCCAAAAAAATTGTAGCCAATAGCTTTTTTTTGGTTTGAAAGAGACTTTAAAGATGAAGGGCATGACAGGGCTCCTTTCTCGAATTAAGCTTTGTAACTATTGCATAAATGAGTACTTTTATAATTAGAACGCCATCTTTCGTGAGTTTTTTCAGACTTTGAGCCTTTTCGTTACTTTTTTCTTTTGAAAAATAAGAATTTTGGAAAAAAGAGTTCTGTCATATCATTATCTGGCATCTTTACATGAGTTTTCAAAAACAAAATAATAATGAAGTTTGTAGAATGAAGGTTTACCGAAAAATCTGAGTTATCAAATGAGGTCTTTTTTGATCCTGGTCTATTGAATATTTCCAAAAAACATCATGATAGAGGGCTGAAAGTTTCATGCTGTTTGAACT